CTAGGAACTGGTTATAAACTGACATATCGAATTAAAAGATGGAAATGATAAAATTGTGAATTAGGTTGAATTCTACTCCTTTGATCACAAGTTGAACTTAAGTAATTCGAATTGTGAAAAGTTAAGTTCTTATTGATAAAAGTTAATACTAATTTTAGTAGATTTCACTCGTGAAATTCTAAACATTTCTTACTGTTTTAACGCGTTGTAAACCTCCAAAATTACGCGACAGAAACAACATTTTTAGAAGATACACATAAAATCGAACCCCAAATTAAATGGTACTCAAAAAGCCAGTTTCAAGCAGAGCTCCCAAGTAATAAATAAGTCTGCCGCCCATATACAATCAACAACAAGTAGTCATAGATAAGGGCGCAGTAAAACGCGCGCCACGACCACGTTATCTGGGCTGCGCACGCGCACGCAGCATAGACAAACCTTCTACAAATTTTACGTTTCGTTAACATAGTGTCGGACTGTTTCTGATAACGATGCTGGCTTGGTGCCGACAAACGTGAACTTAGATACGCAGGCAATTAAATTTCTAGTTGGATTATCAAACTGTACTGAACAGATTCTTAAATACGATTCTAGACAATAAATTAAGTAATTAAGATACAGGAAAGTTTACCTAATTAAAAATGACACATTTTTTAAAGGAATAAAGTATTTTTTTTATAGAAATGTCAGTAATTAGAAAGGCGAGAATGCTTTTAAAAGCGTTCAACTTCAAACACAATTTTGAAGAACATCTTAATCATTACAAGCGGTCGCGCACAGCGCACGTTCGCAGAAACAATTCGTTAATGACACAAAACCGGCGCAGGAACAGCGACAAAACAAAGAGATCCGAATATTATCTCAAATCTTTATAATAATTACAAGAGACAAGTGTACGTCTCAATCCGACGACGCAGCCGATCTCCACGCATGCTGAATCCAATTACCGAGAGCAGGCGACCGAAATATCTTTGCATTCGAGAAAAATAATCGTTAAAAAACACATGACTCGTTTTGTACAACCCTAACTTTTCACATTACAATTGAGAGCAATCTTTCAGTTGAAGGAGATAGAGTTGAAATTCAGTTGCGGCGTGTAAAGTCCTTGGAACGTATTATTCCTCAATAGGTATCCCTGGCGGGGCGGGGCGTGCCCCCACTCCGCGGCCGCTGAGGGGTGGGACAAACGTCAGTCGCGCACCAGCGGTGGGGGATGACAGATGTCTGTCTGTGGGCATCGTTCATATCTCAACACGATAGCGAATTCAATTCTCAATAAATAATAAGGTTCTGCCTACGAAGCCGCGACGTGTGCCCGTACAATGCTGTCTGTCAGTGTGTTTGCACACGCGTGATGATAGAGCGGCGACGAGAGCCGGCGCGACGTCCCAACTGTTATTATTAAGTCGAGTGACTCCTCGAATCCAAACATTTGATTTAGCTGCGTTATTAGCCAACCAAATGTTGTTTGTCATTATGCTAGTTATAAATTCTGCTCCTCTCCGCTAAATGAGCGGCGCTAGTATATTTTGTACGTGATTGCAATATCATCTGGCTGTGAATTAACGATTGTTTTTTGTTGAACAAAACGCAATGGTATGTGAGACTGAATAAGTATTTGATTATGTCAATTTGTATTTGTCCAAGATAAAGCAGTGGCAGTCCATATTAGCATTGTTGGTTTGCCAACTGTGGGTGCTCAAGAATATCTATTCTGATTTTTTTACAGATAATATTGATTTACTTGAAGTACCTTCATCGTTTTATGTTCCTTTTTTACTATGAATTCGTGTAAAAAGGTACATTCCCAATAGCAAACACTGTTTGAATGTTTTGCTTAAATTGTATGATTAATACACGGAATTATCAAAACTGCAGAACAAAATTAACTAGGTACTGTTGCCTGATTTACTCATTTCTCATAGGATTTGTCAAAAGCCTTTCTTTGCATTAAACATATGAAAAATAATTATGGAAAAGAAAGGAATAGGTACTCACAAAACCTAATAAAAATTGGAATAACAAGTTATTAGGTGGAGTGACCTATTTTTGTGTATTACAGCTAATACAAAATTAATGAAAGTTTCAGTATATAATGATGTGGATAGATAATAAAAATAATAGATGAGTGACAATGTCAATTAAACACTATTTATGTGTCATCCATGCAGCAAATAAGTCAGGAAATAAAATTATACCTACTTACCTACATATCAAAAAAATAAATATCGAGTAAAAGGGTGGCTTTGTTCATTAGGGCGAGCTGGCAGCGGACATCCGGCGGAAGTAGGCGGAGCGTAAAAGCCGCCATTTTGCGGCGATCGCGCGTGCGCGCCGACGGCGGACGACTTTATAAAATAATAAACAAAGCGGAATATCGTAGCGAACCGAATTTCGGGAACTTTTTATATTCCTCAGAGGCTTATGCTGAAATATATGGATAATATTCCTGCGGAGTTGATGTGGGATTACTGTACGCGGCGATATTAACCTCGTATCGTTATAAATCGTTGCGTACCTACGTCGGTGTGGGCACCATTAATACCAGCGTATATCGCTCACGTATGTGAAAAGCATTTATTTTGGAGATAAGTACGATTTGTTCCGAAGTATCGACGTTTAATCCTCTTTCAGATTCATAATAAATCAAATGGCCGTGTAACATTCCTGTAACTTTACTTCCAAAGATATCTTAGTTTCATTAACGCAGAACAGTTCTTGGTGCAAACTCAACCATTACCAGATTAGCGAACGTCATAAACAATTGCAGTGACGTGATAGATATGCACCACGAAAGCCTTGGTAGTTTTCGTAAATCAATTATTACATTATGCTCCCAGGGTCGCTTATAATAATAATAATTATCTAATAATAATACTATTTTATATCAATAATTTAATGATATCTAAAATAATCGCAAGTATTCTCAATTAAGTGTTCAATTGTTTCAGTCAATTAGTATTCAATTGTTTCAGGTGCCTAATTACGTTAGGTACCCTTGTCTTGGTTGTAATCCTACACATATCGACTCTAATGAATTTCAAATTTAATTTAATCCCATAATTAATTGAATTAATCGATCGCAACTTTTACGTTATGTTGCTTGATCGTGTTCGAATGTTATAATTTTTTTTAATGTAACTTATTCTAACCGTTTTATGTGCATGCTGTGTTAGCCAGTAAGTAGTTGTTACACTTACCAAAGTATTATTTGTTGTGATGTAATGAATGTATGAGTGTAAATAACTGTTGGTTAACCTAATAAATAAATAAATAAATAAATTAAATGTCTTCAGAAGAAAAGGTAGGTTCATCTATGAGTAAACCCAGATTTTTGAAACAACAGAGCCCCGACATTATTCACAGAATTAAAATGATACGTCATTTAAATACTTATGAATTTATTTTGGTGATACTTAAATGATACAGTCCTCGTTTGAAACGTTAGGCGTGTTGTTACTTTTCATTTTGATGTCGCAATAAAATACGTTTCAATTTATATTGAGAGGCCAACATAACTCTTCGCATGAAAGGATTAATATTCAAAACAAAAGTGGAGCTACAAGCCACAAAAATAGCAGACCGTTATGTTTAATTTAAGAAAATTATTACAACGATTAAAATTCCTGGTTATAAGGCAAGTTTATTTCCTTTTCCGTCTCCTGAACTATCCCGGCCGTATACCAGGATCGCATGAATCGTCAGGAGTGAGCCGGGACGTAAATCAAGCCGCGTCGTCCCATCCATCACGCGACTCCGTCCCATCAATCGCGCGACGACCGAAATAGTCCGGCGGTGTATAGCTAAACTTGGACATCTTCTCACCTAAGGGACGCACTGAGAATATTTGAGAGGATCGTTAGCTAGTTGTGCTACACTTTATGAAGCTCTAGGGAATGCTCAAGTTATTTAAATAGCTTTGTTCATAGCTATTCAACATTCCTGCTGCTACTGTTGTTTACACAACGAGACTGTTCCGTCAATAAGGGAGCCTGTGGTAGGCGGGAGTTGTAAGTTTAAAATCAACGTTGGAAGCATTTTTGTAACGATATTCTTTGTAGGTGGGTAGGTACGGTAAATTTTATAGATACAACTCTTGTATGTCCTTTGTGTTGGATTTACTGGAAGCAACGTTACTTCTGCTAATCTAAAGTCTGAAGAAACACTTGGTTTCATGTCGCTTATTGACATTTTTATTGCTATTTTTAAAGTAGGATAAACCGTATATAAAGTAGGAAATCTTTTAGTTTCGGTCTTTTTAGTTCCATTTAACATTTTACTTTAGAATTTTGAAATAACAAAACATAATAATAGGTATTAAGGATATTAATATAAAATATTTTTGTAAAGGCTCTAAAGAAGTACAAGAAGTACAATGTACACAGCAATTGACTTATAACGGCAACAGAACCACCTGATTAAGGACTCAGTATGTAGATATTTTTTTTTACACGTAAGTACTTAATTTAATTTGACGCAATTTTAATTGTTTTACTTATCTGCTTTATAATAGCTTACAAAAAATGTAATAAGTGTAAAACTAATTTACGTTGACTATAAAATCAGTATTGTGGACATTTAAAATTAAATGCAAGTCGCCCAATTATCTTGTTAGGTTACCTATACACGACATCATAGTCCGCCTAAAATTGAATTAATAGACCCAATTAGAATCAAGATAACAAGCGGCTGTAAAAAATATCCTCATTAATAGAGCCAAACTTGTTACTGCTACCGAATTAACGAGCGACCAACTAACGCAATCATGTAATTACGGACACCTCCAGCCAACGCGCGCGATACCTACACCGCGCGGGCGGGGCCAGGCCACGATCAATACGTGTACAGCCACCTAATGGCACTGAAGGGAAATAGCTGCGTCCCTTTCCGACACGCCCCCAACGCACTAAGGAGCGAAAGAGATAGAATCCGAGTAGCTCATTCGTTGATACGCATCTGGATGGGCGTACTCCGGCCTTCACAGTCGGGTAATCCGACATGGCTCAGTCGGCAAAGAACCGCGTGCCGTGCGCGTGCGTACACCGCCGCCGGCGTACGATGCACTCCGCGTAGAAACGCTACATACAGTCACCATGCTCGTGCCTCCTGAGATGATGGCGGCGCAGTCCAAGCTCGTCTACCAGATGAACAAGTACTACAACGAGCGGGTCGCCAACAGGAAGGCGCAGATCACCAAGACCATACACGAAGTGTGCCGGATAGTGCAAGATGTGCTCAAGGAGGTGGAGCTCCAGGAGCCTCGGTTCATATCCTCACTCACGGACTACAATGGCCGGTTCGACGGCCTGGAAGTGGTGTCACCTCATGAGTTTGAAATAGTTATTTATTTGAATCAAATGGGTGTGTTAAACTTCGTGGACGACGGCTCCCTGCCCGGCTGCGCTGTGCTCAAGTTGAGCGACGGCAGGAAGCGCTCCATGTCCCTGTGGGTCGAGTTCATCACCGCCTCGGGCTACCTCTCTGCTAGGAAGATACGCTCCAGGTTCCAGACTCTGGTCGCACAAGCATGCGACAAGTGTTCTTACAGAGATTGTGTCAAAATGATCGCAGAGACGACAGAGGTGAAGCTCAGAATTCGCGAGCGGTATATTGTGCAAATAACGCCTGCATTCAAATGTGCCGGACTGTGGCCGCGCTCCGCGGCGCACTGGCCGCTGCCCGCCATACCCTGGCCACACCCTAATATCGTGGCTGAGGTTAAAACTGAAGGCTTCGACTTACTGTCAAAGGAATGTCTCGCACTGCAGGGAAAGAACTCTGCAATGGAAGGCGACGCTTGGGTGTTGAGTTTCTTCGAGGCAGAGAACCGTCTGCTGCAGGGCGGGTGTCGGCGAAAGTGCTTGAGTATATTAAAGACGATTCGCGACAGACATTTAGACCTGCCCGGCAACCCGGTGACCTGCTACCACATGAAGACGCTACTGCTGTACGAGTGCGAGAAGCACCCGCGGGAGCACGAGTGGGACGAGGTGGCCATCGGGGACCGCATCAACGGTATCTTCCTGCAGCTGATCTCGTCGCTGCAGTGCCGCCGCTGCCCGCACTACTTCCTCCCGCACGTGGACCTGTTCAAGGGCAAGTCCCCGACGGCGCTGGAGAACGCCGCCAAGCAGGTGTGGCGGCTGACGCGGGAGATGCTCACCAACTCGCGCGCCTTCGAGAAGCTGTGAGCTGATGGCGGACGCTGTGTGGAGTGCTAGTGCCGCGTGTGTGTGACGCTCAGTCGTTCAGTAGTCGTAGTCATGTCATGTGTCGAGGCACAGTGTCAGTATACGGTTGTAGTAAGTGCTATCTGAAATATTCCATTCGGATCGGACAGACTGTAAGTAGAAGTGATACTAATATACGCTAGGGACGCAGTTTCGATATAATATTTTTGTGATATACTGTAAATAGCTTAACGTTGTACAATTTTAGTGATATATTTAATTTAAAATCATCGTGTATTTATTTGACTGAAATCTTATAAAGTAGGCGCATAATCTACTTATAGTTAAAATAAATAATTTGAAATTATAACATTTACTTTGATTTGTAGTTTAATCCCGCACTAACAGACACACACATGAATACACAGCACATTAGTAAAGCTACACGTGACAAGATAATATAAAGTTCCGCTTCATGTTGTATGAATTAGGCCTAAGCCTAGGAAACCTGGCCAGTGTGAGCACTAAGTGCTGACGGCATCAATATCCGTTAGACTGCGACCGAAATGCGTAAATGTGCAGAGGGCATTATGCAGGCGTCAACATTCTGCACAATTTGCATAATAAGCTAATGGTAAATGCGCAGGAAATATTGACCATACATGTGAATAAAATACCTTCGCATCGAACGTAATGTCGCTGGTTTATTCCCGGCTAGATTTCATAAGACAACAAGTATTTAAAGCGCAAAATGCCTAAATACGTAAAGCGACTTCTATTACAACCATAAAATCTAGAAGCACATGACAAAGTGTAAAGTGACAAGTTTTATCTAAACGAGCTGATTCTACATAGTAAAGACAATCAAACACATGACATTCAAGTAATCTTATGTTAATTTTATGACTAGGTGAAGACTAAACTAGTTTGGGAGTACTATCTAAGATGACGTGGCTAGGAAGCTGTGCCCGTACTGCCAGTATATTGAGGTACATAAAGTAACAAAAAAGGCACAAAACGTTGTCAAGTGACAGCGTTTGGTGCGGCCTACGTAGGCAGTATCGGGTTACAAGTCGATATTTTACATGTAAGAGCCGTGGGCCGGACCACAGGCCTACAGTACAGAATACGGACAGCCGGGCAGGCGACCATTAATTTATACAGTGATATCTAGCCGCGATACTCTTGCGAATATACGGCGAAAAATTGTCTGTAAGGATTTAAGATGGAGATAAAACTCCAGTAACTTATTGACGTTCTGCGGGCTTGTCCTCGTGGGAGATTACCATCTTATTGATAGAAGATAAAGGTTGCGATGAAAACTGAATTGATTAGGAGATTTCGCACGATCGGAGCGTAAATTACAGTCATGTCTGTATAGAGTTAGGTAATTATTAGAAGCTTATCTTGATGGTTGAGCATTCACGCACTGTAGATGCAAGTTTATGGTTTGTGTGATGTCAGTCTCTAGCGTGCATAACCGAAAGACATTTGCGACATTTGCATACATCTGGTTAGACTGGTAGCCGGTCCTAAATGGCGGAGAAGGCTCCGCTGATCGCACAAGATAAGATTAAACCTGTAAGATATTTCCACAGGATTCTTACAGAATAACTATCAATATATTCATACACATTGAAAATCTAAGAAGACAAAGTAAACTATTTTAGGCAATATTAATTAGATCAGACAGCAAAATCGAGCAGTACGTATTGATAAAATTATGAAAACAAACATTAGCAGATACAAACAATGCCATATGCATCGAAGTGACCGCTTAAGTGTCCACAAACCAGTTTGTTATTTGGTCACCCTACGCGACCGGCGACGCCTACACACGCGTTTGTTTTAGTTTTTACTTGCTTTTACAAACAGACAGACATTTATAAATAAAATAACCTTAGAATAAAGAGATAAAGTAAAGTACAGGACCGCGACACATCAAGAGCACTCCAAGCTGTGGTTTGCCGTCCCACACAGCTGCTCAATGACCATAGACATCTTATAGAAACCATATTTGCCTGTTAATCAAGTTCCAACAGTCTACTATAGAATCTTTAACTAAATTCATTGTCTCTTCGAAGGATCTCAATTTGATCGCAATTTGTATTTGAAAGGACCAAGATTGAATCAAAGGACCAAGTTCTATAAGTATAGAAAATTAAAATATAGTGAGCTGTAATAGAAACGCCTACATCTGGCACATTAGATGATGGTACAGAAATAACTCCAGTTTTTTATGGGCCGTTGAGTAGCGATACTTAATGGGCGACTGATGACATTACTATTAGAACGTAATTAAGTATTAAAGAAGATATAATTAACTGTTTATGAGCTTCTGAATTAGCTGATGAAATGTCATAAGAACGATTTGAAATGCTTTCGATACAAAATTAAAGGCTTTCTTCGATTTTATGAAAAAGAAAATGCTGTAACAAGTAATAAATTTTGTGTAACATAATGTTTTTACACGTTAAAACCCTAATGTATGTAACAAGATAATCGATAAGAAAATAACTTAATTTTTAAATACCAGCATACATAGCATTTCGTAATGACCGCAGTTATGGTTAAACAAGTACTCGTCCTTACTTTGTATAAAAATCATTAATAAACATAACATTCCGTTGAAACATAAGTAGAAAGAAACAGAAAAAACCGACCATTCTATGCAAATAAAAAGTAAATAGCTATACCATGATAAAAAAGCCAAGTTCCTTTCAAAAGTAACCATTGCGCATTGGCTTGCTATTTAAAAAAATGGCTATAAAACATTTGCAAGAATGTTGCCAATTGAAATACTTCTATTTAATTCATAATTTATATTGTATAAGAACGGATGGTTATAAATATTTTCTGCAAGGTGATCGTACATCGTATTGGTAATTAGACAAAGAACAATTACACAATAAATACCGATCTAATTGTAATAAATTGTAACCCCGATAGTTACTGCTCGCGAGACTTAACTAACTGTTATTACCGTCTCAATTGTTGGTTTTTGCTTTTAAGTTGTAATTAGACAGTTTTTGCTGGGTGAAATTCAATAGGAGTGTTTTAAGTAATTGAATGGTGATATACAAATAAAGTCAACAAATTTTATTCGAATTTATCTCAAAGATCTCGCACTGAAAATGAACACAGGAATTTCGAGAGCATTCAAAGAAAAAATTGATCTCAACGCAACATCATGTTCCTCAAAAGGACTTGGCATATTTCATGCTGCAGCTATATAAATTAAAGTGGGCGTAAAGTTTTCAATAAAACATGCATTATAGTTATAATGAAGAGGCAAAAGGGGGCGGCGCGGGCGCCGACAGCGTCCGAACAAATATTGACGTAGGCCCATTGTGATTAGCCATGGAAAAAAATGTTCACAATGTATTTATGATATGTGAGTGGTGTTTTTATACATGTTTTAATAACTATTTGGCATATTTCTTCAGTTTTATTTCGTTTAAAAATAATCTTTGTAGGTATTAAAAATGAGAGAAAACTTAAAAAAAATTGCAACTTGAAGGACCAGATTTTTCGTGTAGATACATATTTTATAGGTCGTCGCCATATATTTCTTTATTTGTATTATACATCTACTTACACCTCTCAACTATCCATGCGTCTTTTTCCATGCAGATATTAATCACTATTATTTCAATATTATAATAATAAGTAAAGAAGAGCATTTTGGTACGTATTTAGATAACTGTAGCATTATCTACGAAGCGTTTAGAAACGTCTACGTAGCCACTTGACGTCAATGATTGCCTATTAAGTACCAATTACAGATACCAGGAGAGCATAGCATCGCCGGTGATCGATTACTGAAGATTTATTGGGCTATTAACGCAACACAAGGAAATATGGGCACGCTTGCCTATTTATTGTTAACGATTTGAATGCTTGAATTGTCGGAATTCAATTAGGAAAACTCTTTCAAATTCTGAACGCCGGGTTTTGATAGTAGATTTGAAGAAACTGAGTTATTATTAGAAAATTTTACTCAATGGAGATGAAAGTGCATTAGTAATAATTTATTTTAAAATTAACACTAGGTAATAAATGAAATTTCAGCTTTACTCAGTGCTAGCCTATTTTAAACTGAGTCTTCCATTATAATTTTAACATATAACGATTATGACTTCCGTCTGAAATAACTTAAGCTGATGCGACTACCCTTAAACAGTTACGATATGTGCATATTGTATTTTCATTATACAAACTCAACACTTAAAAGCCACTCAAAATATTCGGCATCCTTTATAAAAGTACGTGTCATATGTAGAAGTGTAGTTATTATAGGATTAGTATGCGTATGCGCAGCGCTACGATGCGCGGCGCGGCGCCAACGTGCGCCGGCGCACACTTCACTATAACTCAAACAATACCGCTAACTACGTGACAATCACACAACTTTCTTATAAATATGTAGCATAATTTAAACATGTCATAAAGTTAAGTGTGCCTGTCTGACTTTGTCACCAAAGCAACTGAAGGCTATATTTGACACTGAAACCCGGGAATACGCACTACGTCCATTTCCATTGTTCGGTTCTTTAAAAGGTTAGGACCTTATAATGCTATTAACAAAAATGTGAGGGATTGCGGAATGCTGCTCATGAATATGAGCCTCTAGCATGGCTTGAAACTAGTCGAGTTCCTCATCAAACAGTTACCTACGTGAGGAAGACGAAAACATAATAATTTATTAGTTTGTCTCACGAGTTTTAATATTAATATAAACATAAAAGTGAGCGAAATTGCAGGTACAATCTGTGTAAAAAGTAAAAATATTGTTTCAATTACATGCCGATTCTCTAAATAAGTTCAGAGCTTTTCAGGGAGTAGCATACGTTACTTACGCCCGATTACTCAGTTTTAAGTTGTAAGTACTTAAATATCGCGCCATCTCTGTCATTTTACAAAGAATTTGTAGAGACAGAACTACTTAAGCGCGACTTAAAATTGAGTGGTGTTTGAGTATATCGACATCATTGTATCTTCAAATGCATAGTTGTCAATTTCTGTTCCTACGTATTTATTTTGTAATACTCACTTCTCAAAAGAAGGAGATTCTACCATTATTTCTAACTTGTTAATACACAGGCAAAGACACAAGCATAAAGCTAGTGTTCGAATATAATGAAGTCTATGTATTCTGTCAGGGTGTTTGTAAAGCGTTTCTAGTAAATGAAACGGTGGCGTCCTGTGATTGCGGTGTGGTCTACTGCCACCACATTTGATAACGATCATATCACAGACGTGCGCTGAATTACTTTATAGATAGAAATATTTGAGTGACAGGATATTATTATAGGAGTTTATAGGAGACACCTAATAGTACAAGCAAAGTGTTAGTTTAGGTGCTACGTCTCGGTAAGTGAGAGTTTCTTTTCAAGGGGGGATAATCATCACACTACTTCTCCCGCCTGGGTGAGGCGTTTAAGGGCAGTTTAAGGGAGTGATTGTTAAAATCGGGCA